ATTTCTTCCTCTCATCCACGTGGTTACTCTCTTAAAAAGGAAAGAATAAAAAACTTTCCTTGCCAAATGACCTTTTTACCCTTAATCTCTTTTCATATTTACCAATCAATCCTCTAGAATAAAATTCTCTATAAATTCCTTGAACTTTTAACTTATTTAGAAATCGAGCATAAAACTTTTCAAAATTTGTAATTTAGTCATTGATCCTGATTTGGGATGTTACAAAGACCCTTTATCCCCTATCCTCTTTGTGCTTGCTATGAACATACACTCCAAAATCCTAAATCTTGCTGCTTCTAAAGGGATATTTGGGCATCACCCTAAATATAAAAAAATTGGTTTAACTCATCTCTCTTTTGCTGACGACCTTCTTATTTTTTGTAAAGGAAATCCTGAATGTATAGCTAGAATCATCTCTGTCTTAAACCATTTCTATGCCTTGCCTGGACTCAAGCTCAATGTAAGCAAAACTGAACTTTTTGATGCTGGTATTCCCTCTAGAAACCTTAAAATTATTCATTTCATTTATGGCTTTACGCATGGTCAGCTCCTAGTTAGGTATTTAGGAATTCCAATAGTCACTAAAAAACTGTCTGAACTTGACTGTCAGCCTCTTCTGGATAAAATCAAGTTAAGGTTGTATCATTGGTCTAGTAAGCTGCTCAGTTATGCCGGGAGACTTGAATTAATCAAAACAGTTCTTTTCAGTGTGGCCAATTTCTGGTGTAGGCAATTCATGCTTCCTCAATCTATTATTAACCGTATAGATAAGCTCTGTTCTCGGTTCCTGTGGAAAGGCACTGATCAAGCAGCTTCTGGGATGCGAGTCAGCTGGACAAGTATTTGTTGTCTTAAATCAGAAGGTGGCCTAGGTCTGAAGAACTTAAAATCCTGAAATATTGCTTGCATGATTCAGTTAATTCGAAATATTCTGGCAAGAGAAGGATCCCTTTGGGTGGCTTGGTTGCACTGCTATGTTCTCAAGAATAATGACTTCCGTGACATGGATGAAAGCAATGCACACAGCTGGTGTACTAATAAACTTCTGAAGCTGAGACTTACTGCTCTCCCCATTCTGAATGCTCGAACAATTTACACTAAAGATATTTGGGAAGATGTCAGAGATAGAAAGAGTAAGGTGACTTGGCATAAAATCATATGGTTCCCTATGCATATTCCTAAGTTTAGTATGATAGCTTGGATGACAATCCTAGACAGACTCCTAACTCGGGATAGACTGTCCAGGATGGGAATTCTTAATGATGTTCAATTTGTTCTATGCAATGAGGCTTTTGAGTCTATGAACCATCTTTTTGCAGATTGTAGCTTTGTTAAAACTCTGTGGAACTCTATCTTAAACTTGACTCACTTGCATAAACCCCAAATATCTTGGGAAACAATGATTGAATGGGCTTGTGTTGAATGGAGGGGTAAATCTTTAATCCCCACCCTACTGAAAATAGTATGGACTTCCTTCATCTATGCGATTTGGGAGGAGAGAAATAGAAGAATTTTCCAGCAAAGAACCAGGGAGGCTGCACAACTTCTGTCATCTATCAAAGAGATTGTTCGAATCAAGCTTAGTGGAAAAAATGTCAACAGAAATGATTCTGTTAACTATAACATTTGTTGTAAATGGGGTATAGACTAATCATTATTTTGTTGTAATTATTGTTTATACTCCCTTTTCGGACGATTTTTGTAGCTACTTTTCCTCTGGATAATAAAATCTAATTATCCAAAAAAAATTAAAATAACTTTTTTAAAGTTAAAACATATTTATTGTTAAAGTTCAATTTAACTGTAATTGAAATTAACTTTTTAATTGAAATTGGTACCTAAATTTTCAATTAATTATTATATATTTTTTATAACAAGAGTAAGGAAAGTAGAACAAAGACTAATCTAGCATGGTATTCTTTCGTGTGTACCACATCCGAGGGTTGAGTCAACTCATATAACCCGTTTGCAAGTGTCCATGCATATTTAGCTAGAGTATCTGTTGCCTTGTTCCCTTCTATTGATGGAGCCATCCCGGATTAATTTCACGGCCTCACTGCTGTACGTTTCACTTATGACTTGCCTTTCTTCTAGTTTCCAAGCAACCCGGAGTCCCTCGTATAGCGCTGCTTATAGAGCAGTAAATATGCTTATTTTCCGTGCATAACCTATCATCCAGAGCCTTTGTTATTCTGGGCCACCCCTCCGCAGGTAGGCTCACCCTAGGGAGTCTATGCTTATCTAGCCTTGTCGTAGTTTTTTTTTAATTAAAAATAAAAACTGCTAATCCTATTAAAAAGTTAAAATATTTAAAATTACGAAAGGGTTTACAACTATGAGGAAAAAATTCAATGTTAGATTAGATCTTGAAGTTGAATTCAAATGCAAAATTCATGTTTACCAATTTTAAAATATATGAGTTTTAGCTCATTAAATTTTGTATTAACCTCCCAATCCCAAACCATTATAAAAGTATTTTCATTCGTCGCCTCATTTCCCCAAATTCCCAATTAAAAAACCAAAAAACTTAATTATTGTATAAATACATAAAAATTAAAAAGGTGTATTAGTAAACTAATATTTACTTCAAAATAATATCCTTATTTAATGCATTTCTTTAAACGAAAAACGAATAAATTATATATCTATAAAAGCCTCGAATGCAGCCCAAACGCAGGATCTTCTTCAGCCCAACTCAAACACTGTTTGCCTAATTGAAAAACGGCGTCGTTTGAAAGAAAATGTCCTCGCGGTCTCTTTTAAAAACGATATACCTAGACGGAGCTGGCGCACCAGTCACCGCCGCTGTCCTTCCAAAAATGGCGTCGATACTAGCGATGCTAAAGCGCTCCGCCGCCGCCGAATATGGTTCAGTTATGGGGTTGAGGAGATGGGTTCATGCTTCAGCACTCGCTCCACCTCTGGATGCTTCCATCACTCGTCCCCCACCATCACAGCCGTTGGTTTTACCCGAGTCCAATCAAATATCTGACAGCAATAGTAACATCTTCGGGTTTGGGTTCTCAAGTTTCCCCTTCGGAGGATCCATGGAGCTCATGGCTGTCCCAAAGAGAAAAGTAAAAATTGTTTTCTAAATACTAGCTTTATTTATTAATACAGTTAGATATGTTCTTAGAATACAAAGATGTTCAAATAGATTTTTAAATTTTTTTTCTTCTATATTTTGTAGGTGAGTCGCCATAAGAGAGGCATAAGAAATGGACCCAAGGCTTTGAAACCCGTTCCGGTTATTGTTAGATGCAAGTGAGTATTTTTAATTCATCTATTATTGTTTTATGTTTGTTATTGGAAATTTCTTGATAGTTTAGTACATTAGTTGTTCAAATGGTTGAATAGCAATGGATGTTCATCATATTTATTGAAATGTTAAGTTTTAGCTTGGATTTGCTGTCCTTAGTAAGAATAGCAAAGCACTGATCAGAGCCTTGGATATGGTTTAAGGTTTTTACGGCATATCAAGATTCGAGACTGTAAGATAAATGGTTGAATAGCAATGGATGTTCATCATATTTATATGAATGTTAAGTCTTAGCTTGAATTTTCTGTCCTTAGTAAGAATAGCACAGCACTGATTAGAGCCTTGGATCCGGTTTACGGTATATATGCATATCAAGGTTCAAGACTGTACGATAAGTAAATGATAATGTAAGCTTTTGGCCCTGTAAATCTCTTGAAGACTGAACAAAGAGATGGAATAGAATATTCAACATGTACCTTAGATAACCTTCCTTCAAAACAAATACATTGTCAATATGTAAAATCAGCATACATGTAATCACCATCCACTGCTTTATTGCAGGAGCTGTGGTCGTGTTAAGTTGCCACACTTCTTTTGTTGTAGTGGAGATCGGGGACAGAACAGCGAACAAGGTCATTCATCTGGTTAAGTATGTTGTGTCTTCTGTTGGTGAACTACAGAGATAAATAAGATGATTTCTGCGTTTAATGATTAAAACTTTGTATGGATGTCACTTATCCATTTTTCCTTGTAGAAATCTAGATTTTCCTAAGCTTTATGATCATCTGAGGCTGTCAGCGGATTCGATCACGAAATAGGTTATAAAGTTTCATTTGATGCGATTATAACAAGATTGTGTTGCACTCTATTTCTCTTCACCTTACAAGATCGTGTACAAGAATTGCAAATTTTGTGTTTATCGGTTGAAATTTCCAGATATTTCTTTCAAGGAAAAGATGACTGTGTTTCATGTATTTATTGGCTGCAATTTAGTTAAAGTTGTTTTCATGGTCATAGGATTGGCCATTGCATTTGCATTTACCCGAAAAACAGTAGTTACAAGTTCAATATATTGATTTCTGGCATGTTTGCTGCCGCATGGCTAAAATTTACGTGATTGATCTCTAATATCTCCTTTTCTAAGTATTTCTTCTGGATTCTCATCCTAGTTGGTTTAGAGTTAGGATTCGAGTATGGAGATGGCCACCAGGTAGTCGTTGTCCCTCTGATTATTTGACCTCCTGATACTGTTTCAGATAGAACCCACTCTCTCCATTCAATCGGCAACAGTTCAGTCACTCAACCCAGCCTTCACTTTCAATAAGCAAGCCTGTCATTGCCGTCGCCACCTCCCATGCTCGGCATGAAATGCATGTCTCACAACGAATGTAGAGGTTGTGTGGGTTCTGTGATCGTCAGCATCTCTCGACAACATAAATTCCAGCGATAGGGCCACTCGGTCATCTTCATCACCGCTGCTCCTTGTATACTCAATAAGAAATATATAGAGTAGTTTACCAATGAGAAATTCGAAATATAAATCAAACACGATAGTTTTACGTTTCTATCAAATAAATCAAATAACATTCTCACTAATATATCACGTAATATTGTGTTCTAAAAAGACTACTTTTAAAGATAATTTTAAATTCAGTGAATCAACATTTCCCTATCTATTTTATTAAAAATATTTTTTTTCAATAACGTATGACCTCCCAAGACTAGGCTGAAGAACCCAACCCTACAAGGCAACCTCCGGAGGACTCAAAGAACCTATTATTCTGTCCCCCGCTTTTTTCCAGTATTCCCAGTCAACGCGGTTCGAACCTAGGACATGAGACCAACTAATAATCCCAATAGTCATTGCTTTACCAACTGGACCACGCCTATTGTTAAAAGTATTTATAAGTAGATAAAATACTCATTTTAAATATGATATTATAAAATAAAAATAAGTGATGTTAAAATTCGCGAACATAATTATATTTATAATAAATAAAGTTAAATTATAAAAAAATATAAAAAAATATAACAACTCATTAGTAATATTTAATATATAAAAATATAGATTTTAAAAATTATAAATTCAATCTAAAAGTAATTTTTTACAATACAAATTGAGTGTTTAGATTAGGTTGATAAACAAATTTTCACCCTAATTTTAAAGTGAAAACTAATGTGTTTGACATTGCTTTTTCCGGCGAGAAAATATTTTGAACAGGCAAAGCATCGGCAAACGCACTCTTTATCAAAACTAGTTTCTCTTGTATATATATATATATATTATTGAATTCTAAACTACCTATTCATCTTCTTCTTCTTCTTCTTCATCATCTTCCTCATAGTTGAAAGGCAACGGCACCGACTTGAATGCCCGATACTTTCCGACGTTATTCAAATGCTCGTTTTCTAACCTGGAAATAACGTTTACAAACATGTCAGATTCAGATTCGATATTAGAGATTTGAGTTTATCAGTTAACAGGAAAATAACACAGTTTACCTGAAGAAATTCCACACCCCTCGCCGGATTATCTCCAGGCTTGCGACAATGGTGATCATATTTTGTGTATGCAAACCAGATAACTTGAAACTGAACACTGTTTGCAGCCATGCAAATCTCAGCACAACATTCAGGACCTGCATTCCAATCAATGAACCTTGTTAAAACAGATGAACGACGGTGATGAGCAAGTTTTGGAGTTCTAATCCTTGGTGTTTAGACTTACCATGGCACCAAAGTAGACACTTTTTCGTGGTATAAGGAGTTTATCTCTCAACCATCGGTTTCTGGATTGGCGTTGAAGAAGTCCCCAGTCGTAGATAAGGTCCCAATAAGTACCGACAATGGCGGCTGTCACCGAGAAAACGAGAGCCAAAATTTTCCAATTTAACTTATTGTTGTTAAGACTGTAAGCAGTTCTCAAACAAAGGGCTACAATGGTGAGGAAATATTTCACCGCGTTGTAAACTTGAGGAGTGTCTTTCTCTTCGAAGAAACGACGCAAGCACTGAAAAAGACGAGACCAGAAAGGAATAACGGAGACGATGAAGCTGAAAGTGGTGAAAACGTCGTTGCTTTTACAACTGTTTTCTCTGTGTCTGAAATCTCCCCAACCATAGTAGCAAATGTAGAACTCAAGGCTTCTAAATGCTTGAACCTGGCTAGTTAACTGGTCTGCCAGGAAGAAATCTGGAAGCCTGACCTGCAATTTGAAAGTAATTTAAAGATTAAAATTATCTGACATGGATATCTGACGCCGGTTCTTCAAGAAAAATGAGACCTTACCTTGTAAAGAGGGGCTAAGATACAGTGAAACAAACAAGTGAGGAAGAAGAAGCGACTCGATCGATACAGGATGTTAAATGGCAGGAACAGTATGACAAATATCACCTGCAAATAGAAGAAGACACCAAGAAATCAGTTGTATATATATATATCTATATATATGTGTGTGTGTTTTGAATGAATTCAATGATCTTACCAGCACCACGATCAAAGGGACGATTTCGGTGAAAGCTTTATAATCTTTAGTTTCGGGATCCATCTCCATATGAAGATTAGAAAGCACACTAGCAAGTGCCATTGCTGCAAGGCCAAAACTTACAAGCAGCACTTCCCTGTACCCAAGCTCCGTTCCTTGCTTGAAACCAAATATGAAGGCGTAATTAACTCGATACCGTCTCCAAAAGTACACACTCCCAGCATACATAACCGTATGCAGAACAATGAATCCAAATAAACTGCAAAATTGTTTGCCAAAAACATGTCAAAACAAATGGTTCATGCAGACTGAATCAACTCGAACTGCAGGGACAGGATACGTTACCTGTAAAGAGGAAACATGGTTTCCATGTACTTGTTCGTACCGTCGTGATTGCTGAAATGCCGAGCACGAATGATCAAAATAAGCGCTAATATCAGAGCAAATGCGCATCCAGCAAAGAAACCTGAGAAATATCCAAGAATTGCAGAGAGTTATATCGATTGAAACGAAATCGCTTTGGTAATTTCCCTATCTATATGTATGAATTTCAAAGTTGTACCTGTATAAAATGTTGTTGTATGTCTTTGTTTCCTAGTTTTGGGTCTTAAAATATTCATTCCTTTTCTGCGGTTTGAGTTTGCAAAATGTTTGATGACTGTAACCTCGACTCTTTCCATAAGTTTTGTAACCTCTTCGGAACTACCTAGATAAGAACTATCCACCATGTTCATGTATGATTTTGAAGCATTCCTTGAACTGATCTGCAATCATAAAAGAACAAAACACTGTCAAAAACCAGAAATCTATACAATTTGCCACATAAATGGTGTTTATGTATACCTTGTCATATTTCTTCATGATTTTTGAGAAAGCCAATGTATTTAAGAAGCTGTAACTTTTGAGGAGGAGAAGTTTCCGGTAGAATTCAACTAAAGCTCGCTTAAGTTTGTTCTCAATACTCTTGAGATTTTCCATATTAAACTTCAAATCAGACTGTTTAGGGGCGTTTAGGATCACTTTAATGGTTGATCGAGGCGTCTCAAGTGTGTTATTCATTTTAACACGGTCCAGTATCTGTAATGGAGCATGTTTATGTTGCTTGAACCCATTAACCGGCTTTTCAATGGCTTGCGCTTCAATATCTGGCTTTACATTATCTTTCTTTTCTTCATCTGAATCGTTGTTCACGATCGGTCCTTCTTCGATGATCTCCATGTGCTCAACTGATCTTCCTGCAAATCAACAATCAAAGTGTATTCATGAAAAAATTGCTTTCCGAGTGTAAAATTCAATGCCTGTCTTGTACTTACTGCCACTCGCTCTAGAACCAGCGGGAGTCGAAGCGGTCAGCGCGGTGGCCGACGCGGTGATGGCGGAGGCTAGACGAGTCATGTCATCAGACCGGTCCTGCCACGACCATCCTAGAGGATTCTCCACTTTGATTCTAAAGGCAATAAAAGCATCCATTTGCTTGTTTAAGGTCTCAGCCTCCTGCTTCACCTCAGCCACTTTGGACTTGTAAAACTTAACCACCTTATTGAACTCATCGTCCAGTCTTCTGAAGTACACCAGTTCGTACTCTCCACCTTTCTCTCCTTGCATATAGAACGTCGTCTCGTACTTCTCGAAGCCGTTCCGGTTGACGAAATTCACCAAAATGGAATGATCTTCGACGTCCAACGACGTCGACGTTGAGCCAACGGATTGTTGCCTATGTAAAAGCCCACTGAAAGCTCTGTACATCGACAAGCTTCGTATCATTCCATGTGGGATTGGTTGTTGTTGTTGCTGTTTGATTCTCTGTTTGAAAGCTTGAATTTCTTTTAAAAGGGACTTAAGATAATCATAATCCATGTATGCCGTTTTCCATTCCGGCACCATTTGAGCTGCAAATTCCTTCCCAAACTTCATTTTTTTTCTGGGAATTTTCAGCGCTCAACAGAGTGTCATTCAAAAGGCAAAACGAAGGTTCAAGAAAGAATGAAAATGGGGTTATCTGGTTCAAGAAATGTGTATCTATAGACGTAAAAAAATTGACTTTTTCTCTTTGTTTCCACTCTCACTGTTCACGTGGAGAACTTTCCAGTGCGAGTGAAAATAACGTTTCACTATTCGCGTAAAAATTTTCAACTTGTTTGAGGACATTTGTTACCAGAACACACAGGTGAGTAAATAATTCAAAGAAAGAAAAAAAAGGATAAACTAAGTATTTAGTCATCAAATTAGTCTCGTGTTTCTATTTTGGTTAACTATTTGTTTTTTTTAAATCATGCCTAATGTTACGTTCTGATCATCCACAGTTAAAAAAATTAACGGTGATGTTGACATGTCAGCCTAAGATAATGTTACATTATCATTGAAAAAAAAAAATTAAAAATGACCACATCAACAGTTTTATTTTTTTAACGATGGATTATTAAAACAGAAAAAAAAAGTAACATTTGATATGATTTTTCTTAAAAAATAATTCGGTGATAAAAATAAAACTGTGAGAATAATTAGATGATTAAATATGTAATTTACCCAAACAATATTTGTTATTAGGTTAAGTGATACGTGGATTTGTATGGACCACAACATCTGGTGTAACACAAAAAAAATTAGTTGACCCTATTTACATATGTAATGGGATAAGGGGAGATAGGGTAGTAGGCTGCCCCCAACGCTAGGTTGAGAGCAAGTTTCGTGGAAGATCTCCGACAATTATGAATTGCCCACTATGAAACTCGATCCCACGACCACAAGGTTAAGAGTCTTGCGGTCTACCAACTGAGTAACACACAAATAATTTAATCTAATTAATGAACAAAATAGACCTCATGAGAGATTAAATATGTTAAAAGTACATAATTCACTAACATTACACAAAATTCGACCAAGCCGAAGAAAAAAATGTTAATTTGAATTTTAACATATTAACTATTGGTTTTAAAAATAATTACATAAATTCATTCAATTAGGTATTGATTTCAAAGTAATTATTTCGGGTTGTCATTACACTTTGAAAGTTATGAGTTAAAACATATTCTTAATTGAGTGATTTGATTTAAGGATTCAAAGAATAATAAATAATTTGAGTTTATTTATAAAAATTAACCTCAATAATATTTTTCTTTTTATTTCTTTTTTCAATTTTTTTTTAAATATGTGGTGAATACAAGGTACATAGTATCTATTAAAGACTTTTAATCATTTGATATTAAACGCTCATATCTCTTCATACGCTGTGTTCGAATTCGAGACTTTAAAGAATAATAGTAAATTCCTTAATCACTGAGACCACTGGTATCGGAATCTCTTTCCAAAATCACCATGAATAAGCATTATTATTACTTTTGTCAAATTGGAAGAGAGTACATTAATAATGAGTTGTATACACATCGAAGAATGTCAAAATAAATAAATGATAATGAATTTAGCAACAAGCAATAGAAGATGAAGATTATTGATTTTCATCTCATATTAATTAGGTTCTTAAAGTTTTGGTGTTGAATTATTAGGTGATCGATCATTGACGTTATCAAAGTTTCTTTTATTAGTCGTTAGGTGGCACGAATACATAATTTGGTCAAAATCGATGCATTTATTAAATAAAGTTTATGAAATCTTAATTTACAATTAATTATTATTATTATTATTATTATTATTATTATAAGAGATCTGCCACTTTAAATTGATATAAACCCTAGACAATCATAGATTATATATGTATAAGACAATAATTTTTTTAATTATTCGTATTTAATTTTGTTAATATAATGACATGCATCGCTATCACTTCTTGATTAGTTAAAAAATAAAAGAAACTTGGATTCAATTCTATTGAAATGGAGTTTAAATTAATAACATTAATTAATTTTAAAATACGAGTTTTTAAGCAACATGTTTTTAAATTGTGTATACTTTATTTTATTTCTCTTTGAATGTTCTAAAACCGTTGGCTGAAATTGACTAATTTTTTTTTTCTCGTGAATATCTTTTCATTTCCTGCTGTTAATCTCAACTATTTATTTTTATTTATCCATCGCTCCTAAATCTGTGTAAAACTAAAAGAGTTTTACATTGTGTAACAAAATCTTTTATATATATAATACTCCATGACTTCGATAATTATTAAAAAATGATCAACTCTATTTTTTTTTTAAAAATAAACGAAGAAGAAATTTTAAAATTGTATAAACATTCAAATTATCTTTTAATTTTAGATATATTTTAAAAATACTTATTTTATTTTATAATATTAATTATAATTATTTCACACCTAACTTTTTTTTGAATTAATCACAGTGTCCGAATTATTAACCAACTAATTCATATTGGATATTGCAGGACAATGACAACCCTCCTAACCCAGTTTACTCCATTCGCAAACGTTAGGGTTTGAACTCCTAACTGTTTGAAAATATAAAAGAAAATAGTAAGTAATTTAATTTTTTAATTATTAAAAATAATTTAATTATTTTTTTCATCTTTTTACCTATTATTTTTGTGTATCATGATTTAGTATTAATGTAATTAATTTGAATAGGCTTTACTTGATAATTGAAGTTTCTATTGTTGGTGACAAGAGTTTTTTTAAAATAATTTATAAGGTAATATCTATATTTTTTTAATTAATTGATAACATACTCTACAAATATAACTAGGCATGGCATGGGACTTGAACCCGTCGGGTTCCGATCTGACCTGATCCGATCGGGTCAAATTTTTAATAAAAAAATTCGGGTTTGGGTCAGGTTGAGGGTGAAAAATACCGACCCGACCCAACCCGAAAAAATATAATTTTACCTTATATTTAGGAATAATTATAATAATACACCCTATATATTATTATTTTCAATTAAGTCATTGTTTTTATTGAATAAAAATAATATTTTTATTATTATTTCTGGTTAGATCGGGCTTTTAAGTTATATATCGGGTCGGATCGGGTGAAACCTTGTTTTGATTGGGTCGAGTGGACCAAAAACCTGACTCATGCCCATTTCTAAATATAAATGCTCAAACTTAAAATCTCTTTAAAAGAATAATATTTTTTTACTACAGATAGATTCTTATCAACAACAAATTGAATATGAATTTGAGGTGTAATAAGCGATTTTCAAAGCTAAAATAAGCTAAAATCCAACACATAAAGAGATTGGCTTTTGCAGCAGTGAACCTAAGCATCTTTTTTAATGCTTTTATGTTGTTCTTTACCTTGGAAAATTGATAGTAAAATACAAAATCAAAATGTTATGAATGCGTAATCCAAAATAATTAAGACCATATTAACATGAAATGAGATAAAAAAAAGATTTAATATAATATAATTTTATTTATTTTTATGAATAAAATAATAATAATAATCTATTATAGATATAAGTATATAAAGATTATGAAGAGTATACACAAATATATAATATCTTATGCATCTCAAAATTATCTAATATATATGTCAAAACCTTATATATCCCAAAACATTATCTTAACATTTTAATAAAATTCATATCTACAACGTAAATCCTGAAATTGTAGACATTACTGATTACACTACAAAAGAATTATGTATCATAATTCTAAAAATTAAGACTGACCCTATATTTATAGAAAAAACAAATTTGGTCACTAAAAATAATTATTATATGATAATTTTTAACTAATTTTTTTCATCGTTAAGTAATTTTCAACTAGAAGAATTTATGTTTATTTTTAATTGGAATTTGAGATAATATCTAACCATTTCTTCCCGAACACAAATTCAATTAAAAAAATTAATCTTCTAATCTTTAACAATTAATCCTCAACATTTATATCTTCAAAGAAAGAAAGAAAAATTCTCTTTGTATATATCCTTTATTGAATTCTAAACTATCTACTCATCTTCATCTTCATCATAGTTGAAAGGCAATGGCACCGACTTGAATGCTCGATACTTGCCCACGTTATTCAAATGCTCATTCTCTATCCTGAAGAAATTCCACATCCCTCGCCGGATTATCTCGAGGCTGGACACGAGGGTGATCATGGTTTGCCTATGCAAATCAAATAACTTGAAATTGAGCACTGTTTGAAGCCATGCGAATCTCAGCAGAATATTCAGGACCTTCAATCCAATGAATGAACCTTGTTAAACAGATGATGAGTAAGTTCGGAGTTCGAATTCTTTGGCGTTTAATTTACCATGGCACCGAAGTAGGCACTTTTTTGCGGTATAAGGAGTTTGTCTCAACCATCGGTTCCTAGAACGGCGTTGAACGGGTCCCCAGTCGTGGACAAGGTCCCAATATGTACCGAAGACGGCGGCCGTCACCGAGAAAACTAGAGCCAACATTTCCCCACTTAATCCTTTGTTAGGACTATATGCAGTTCTTAAACAAAGGGCCCAAGTGGTAATGAAATATTTCCCTGCGAAAACGACGCATGCACTGAAGAAGACGAGACCAGAAAGGAATTACAGCGACGATGAAGCTGAAAGTGTTGAAAACATCGTTGCTTTTGCAACTGTTTTCTCTGTGACTGAAATCTCCCCACCCATAGTAGCAAATGTAGAACTCAAGGCTTCTAAATGCTTGAACCTGGCTAGTTAACTGGTCTGTCAGGAAGAAATCCGGAAGGCTGACCAACAATTTCAAGGTAATTTACAGATTAAATTACTCGAACGGATCCGTATATGCATCGGATACGTATATCTGACACGAATACTTCAAGAAAAATGAACCCTTACCTTATAAAGAGGGGCTAAGATAATGTGGAATAAACAAGTGAGGAAGAAGAAACGACTGGATCGATATAAAATGTTGAATGGCAGGAACAGTATGACTAATAATACCTGTAGATCAAAGAAGACACCAAGAAATGATCAGTTGTCTGTTATATATATATGGTTATGAAAGAATAGAATAATCTTACCAGCACCAAGATCAAGGGGA